TAGCAAACTTGTATAAAAAAAAAAAAAAAAAAATACTTCTGAACTTTCATTCGATTGAAGAAAATATATAGAAAACAAGTATGACCCGCAAAATGGAAAATATAAGATTGTAACAAGCTTTATTAACCCTCGCGCGGACATCTCTTTTCAGTGGCGGCCATTTGCTGCCCACCTATAAAAATATAAGTATGTACTTACTAACCCCTACGCCCAGTGGGGGGGTATTATTATATACTGCCCCTAGTCGCGTTGCCGTGTTCATATGTGGCCGTATGCAGCCTCGCGCAAGGGGGGGAAAGAAGCTGCCCAAACGGCTATACCATAATTTTATTATGGCCAAGTATGCGTAACTGGTATGTAGCTTTTTTTTTTATTTTACTTTTTTTTAAATTTGTATATCGCTGGACAACGCGCGGTCTCAGCCCCGTCCATGCAAGATGAATGTAAGCAACTTTGCTACGTGTCCAGTTTGTCCACGCGCAAAACAGGGCAGGGAGATGCCTCCCGCCCCATGTGAAGGTCCTACTTCGATTTTCATTTCGGGCGACAGACCCACGCGCAGACAGCAATGGGGACATAATTCTCACCCATGTGTTGTAAATCGCCCTCAAAACAAAAAAGGTAATTCCTCTCACCGTGATGAAAGAATTATACAAGTTTCGTGCCTGTCCAACGGATGCGGAGCACCGAATAGAGTTTGGCTCCCTCTAGTAGTCCCTTCACTACAGGGTCTTTTTATAATGTAACTGCATTAGCGCAGTGGTGAGCCGATTATGTCCCACAGATGGAGTGCCCCTTGGTCTAGGGTAGCCCCCCCAATACAAAATGACCAGCACATGTTGACTAATCAGGAGGAATAAAAGGCGCCGTCATGGTATCGGCCATACACTATAGCGTAACTGTACAGGTTATACTACACAAAATGTTTCCTTAGCTTTGTATGCATATCGCACATGTGTCGTACTTTTAATTAGTTTATCTTCCTCTACCACCACAACAATAACAATGAACCCAAATTCGAATGGGCAATGAGGACACGTCCTCTGCGCTTCTTTCTTTGTTAAACTGTTACGCAAAGCACAATTTGTAGTTGCCTCTGTTGAGATTCTTAAACCCCCCGCTGGTCGCTGCTATCCATGGTTAGAATTGTCCTCAGTATCGTACACGGCACGAGCTGCTATGACTATTGCGGTGGCGTCTTTTCCGTCCAACCCCTCTTTTTTTTCTTTTCTTTTTTTTTTTTTTTTTTTTTTTCTATTTGCTCCTCCCCCCCATCATACGATGCAAACATGGGGAAAAAATAAAATGCCTATCTGGGGTATGCCGGTAAAAAATAGGACGTACACCGAAAACGACTTCACCGCCATGTGACTGAAAAAAAAATATTATTCAACGGAACAGCTCGGCGAAAATTGTTCCTAGGTACGATAAAAATGATTAAAGGTTTGCTCTAACAGATGGCTAATATTCGTTCCCATCTCGCAGTTAAATGTTAATACAAAATTAGAACATGCCTGTCCCCTTTACCATTTATGTGAATCGAGCCGACTGGATGAACCCTATCATCCGTGGGGGGCTGCTATGACGATCCATCCGGTGCATTAGCAAAAATGCGGGAAAAACAACAAAAGGCGCGAGCGGCGGGCATTCACTGCTACGCTTACCCTGCCCAAATATATGTTTTATATGTTCTACTACAACCCATAGGCGTTGCGGCTTAGCAGCAAAAGGAGTCATCTGCATTTAATGCAGTTTATACTCCCTCGACGCGCGTTCCGCTTTGCAGCCAAACGTTATATATTATATTTTAGCTGTACTCTTCGGGCAGTCTCTACATGCGCCTACTAAAAATAAATTCCATAATTGTACAAACGAAAAGGGAAAAAAAATATATATATACATATATATATATATATATATTTTTTTTTTTTTTTTGTTTGATCTTTGACGTGGGGATTATCCCGTAAGCCACAAGAGCGGCACGAACGCACTGAGCTGAGCTGTGTGAACAAAGGGCTCAGTCGCTCTTGTCATACGGTAATATATTTACATATAATGTCCTCATTCGTTTCGCCACTTCCGCATAGGCATGGAAACCGCTCTTAGCAACATCCATTTTGTACATGTGGAAATTTGAAGTAAAAAGCTATATGCCATCCCCCCCACCGCGTGCTTTCTTAAAATATTACGCTGCAAGTGCGATTGTCCATCCCGTGGGCTCCGCTTTTCCCCTCGCAGTTTGTGTAGTTCCCCTTTTTGTGAATATCATCTCCATAGTTCACACCGTTTTGTGTTTTTCTTTTTATTTTTCTTCGCGTTCTTCTGGAACAGTGACCCCTTATCTGTGGGGGACCATTTGGACCGCGACATTCCCAGCGTCATACGCGCTTAGGGTGAATCATACAGAGCTGAAGAGGGAAGAGGAAGAAAAAAAAAAAACGCCCACACGATTGTACGTTCTTATTATACAGACTTGTATGTACATTCTGCAGTTGCGTGAGCCGGTCAGGAAAAGCCGTACCGGTTTGTACATGAGGGATCACTACCCCCTCTGACCCTATAACAATTTTTTTTCACTGAATATTTCACCTGACGTGAGCACAAACCCTCATTGTTAAAGGTGTCCTTCTCTTCTCCCTTTGGAACAAAAAGTGGTGCGCAAAAAAAAAAAAAAAAAAAAGGGCAGAATTCTCTCCCCTCTCTGCAGCATAGCATGCGAAGTAAGAGACACGTCTGGTACTCGCCCCGTCGCTGTGGACGTTTACACAATTATGCACCTTTCTCATTTATGAGCATGGTATCCCCACCCCCGGTCGCTAACCCTAAACTGATTTAGCCGCGCAAATATGTGCAGGTTCTAGGGGGTACCCGCATTTGTATTTGTTAACGGCGCAGAAGGAGAAGAAACTGTAGAGCGATATCACGACTCCAGAAGTGCGTACTTGTGTATACTTACCTGGACAGTAACTGAAGCCACTGCGCTGTTCTTGCGCTACGCCATATGTGACCCAATGACACATGGAGGGTTCATTTACGAGTACCCCTGATTTGTGCCCACATCCCTGTGCAACTTAGCGCGAACGGGCTCGAAGTACAAAAGTGGACGCAGCGTACTGGGGATCCGCGGACAAGCGGCACGTGGAGCTGTACCATTGAGGGATACGCAGAAGAAATAGGCCACGCGATACGCAGCACTGCTTTGATGCATCGCTGCGCTGCCCCACGTCGCTGCACCACTTCTCAACCCCCAAGATGACGCTAAAGTTCGTGATCCGAGAACCCAAGGTGCGGGTCCTGTTCTCGCCCACGGAGTTCTTCGAGACCCTGAAGGGCATGTTCCGGAACTCCAAACATAGAATCGTTATCAGCTGCTTATACATAGGAATAGGCGAGCTGGAAAAGGAATTAATACTAACCATAAAAAATAATAAACACATAAAGAATTTAAGAGTGGACATTCTGTTAGATAAACAAAGAGCTACAAGACCAGAAGGGAAGCTGAAAGAATCCTCTGTGACTATGCTGTCCGATCTCTTCAGCCATGCAGGCGATCTAAATATAAGCTTATTTCACAACCCACTACTAGGAGCAGTATTGTATAATATTCTGCCCTACAGACTCAATGAAACCATTGGAGTGATGCACATGAAGGTATTTATTGCAGATGATCATGTGATTTTATCTGGGGCCAACTTAAGCGATAGCTACCTTCGAAATAGGCAGGACAGATATATTTTGATTGAAAATAAATTATTAGCTGACTCAGTTCATAAAATTGTGAATTGCATCCAGAACATGTCATTCAGAGTGAATGTCGATTTGAGTCTCCATTGGGGCAGTGACTTAATGAACCCTCTTGTCGACGCTCATACCTTCCGTGAGCAGTTCTATAGGAGGATACAATTCATGCTCGGTCAAATCAGGGAAGACATTTTGCGTGATACCCAGGGCAAGGCGGAAAGGCACATGCCGGATGGCGATTTAAGTGGATGTCGCTTACCCGGAAGCAGCCCCTCTAGGAGCCAGCGAGAAGACTTCTTCAATCCCCTGTTCGTCAAAAATGAAGTAATTATGACCGTGGAGCTGGCGCTGCAGAGCGGATTCTCTTCACCCCCTATATACGACGAAAGCTGCATGTTGGAAAACATGCTCAAGAATGTAAAGAAATATGACCAAAGTTTAATCATATCATCAGCGTATTTGAACTTTCCAGAAATTTTTTTACAACTGTTTAGAAATATATATGATAACCTGTGTTTTAAAAAGGGGTTAATACGCTTTATTACAGCATCCCCTGCAGCTAACAGTTTTTTTAAGTCCAAGGGCATTTCCTACTACGTACCCCTTGGCTACACAGTCAGTGCGCACATGTGTCTTCAATTCATCACCAAAAATATTATAAGCGCTTTTAAAAATTTAAATAGAACAGACCCTTTGAAGAAAAAGGAAAAGACATACACAGATATTTTTTTAGAATATCATAAACCGTCCTGGACCTTCCACTCCAAGGGGATGTGGCTGATTGGTAATTCCACCGACAGGGGAGTACTTGGTGGCAACACCTCACAAATGGAAAATGTTACAAATAGTGTGTGCACTAGCCAATATTATGAACAGTCAGAAAAAAAAAAACAAAAATCCCCTTTTGGAATAGCTAGCTCTCCTTATTTATTCAATAATGATCAAAATTGCCTGAACAGGTCAGCTAATTTGGAGGAAAGAAAAAAAAAAAATGTGTGTGAAAATACTTTAAAGAGTGAAGAAATGGATCATAGTCAACACGGTGACGATAATCAGCTTTATAACAATAATGCTACATCACTGACCCAAAACTTGGGCGATCTACCCTGGGGAACGGTGATTGGAAGCTCCAACTACGGCTACCGAGCAATGTACAGAGACTTGGAAATGAGCTTTGTGATCAAAACAAACGATGAAAATTTGAAGCGCCAGTTGCAGAAGGAGCTGAACATCGTTTACGAGTCCTCCAATTTTGTCCACATGGACGAGTTGTATTTGAGGTACCCCCGATGGCTGCGATTGCTGTACTGGTACTTCGCGCGATGGTTGCTGTGACGGCGGCAGGAATCCCTCGGGCCATCTGTGTGTATTCGTCTATTTGTTTGCTTATGTGCTCACCCATTTGTTTGTTTGCCCATCTCGCTCTCTCTTTATCTGCCCTTTTATCTGCCTATCCGTTCACTGGCATTTTTGCCCATTCGCTTATTTCCTTTCCACCATCATCACCCTTCCGGTGCTGCACGAACTGCTTGCCAGGGCCAAGAAAACATCGCGCCGGGCTTTTTTGTTTTGTTTTTTTTTTTTTTTTTTGTCACTTTATTTCCCTTTCCCCCTTTTGGCATTTCGTAAAATGCCTATGTGTATTACACACGTTGTTCTCATATTTGTGCGAATTGTCCGCTTTTGCCAAAATTTGTTTTTAATGTGTTTCCAAAATTTTTTTTTTTAAAGAACGGACATACGTATTTAGCTACGTGTGTCAACCCAAATGGCTTAATATTCCATTGCCCCACCGTGTCCTTTGTTTAACTGGCAACATCCTGCTCAATTTGTCCTCAATATATTTGCAAAGGTAGGAAGAAAGTACAATTTTATTTTGATGTTACTTTTTCAACGCTTTTGATATTCTTATAGGGTCATTTGAACACTGTTCCCCACGTGATGCCTTTTTTTTTAATCTGCCATCTTTTACCTTGTTCATAACAATGCAGAGTTTGCACTTTGCACAATGATGGGGTCACCAACGATAGGCTCCTTGTGTTGTTCCACAATGGGAGATTTACTAAATGTGCACGCGGCTGGTATAGTAATAAATGTGTTATCGCATTTGTATGCAGCTTTGTCCTCGGTGATTTTTAACCCCCGTTAGGAAGTGATCCTCCAACTTTTGAACTGAACGCGATCGCCTCATCAGCGCAGCAACGGGTGGATCGGAATGCGCACCTCCGAGGCGTCTCACCTTTGGCAGCATCGCATGGTTGTAGCCTTTTCGAAAGGTGCACATTTTAAATAAATATCCGCTTGAATTATTGTGCGGTTGGCTGCATTCCCGACTGCACTCCTGAGTAATGGCCTTATTGATAGGCTCATTTCATTTTTCCTTCCTCCCCATAAAAAAAAAAAAAAAAACTCTGCACGAACAAACCCATGAGCTCATTCCGCTCGATTATCTCTGCGCAGAGGTTTCACAGGGAAACACTTATTTGAAGCTGCTGAGAGGGGGTGATGCATAGCCACTCATGCGAACACAACCACTGGTGCCGCGCCAAGGGGGGTCATACCGCTGAAAGTGACCCCCTACACATGCAGGTGTTGCTTAAGAATGCAAGGAATGGAAGAGAATAACATGGGAACACAGAAAAGGGGGAGGAACGAGCAGGCGCGAAGTAGAAAAGTGTGTAAGTGTATGTTGGTCCTCCAAGGTGCAATAATTAAAACTGCACAAAGTGAACTGCTACCCCGCAAACTATGAAATTTTCTTCTTTTTTCCCCCCCTCCCTGATGCTATACTTCCTCAATCCATTTCACGTTACACTCGCCTACAAGAACACACTTCCCGTGGGAATTACCCACCACACGAGTATTCACTTCTCGCGCTACCTTAACAGAAAACGTAACGCACTTTCCGTAAGACAGGCCTCCCAAGTCAGGTGCTTCACCAAGACAAGGTTACATAATGAAGCGTTGCACGAGGAAGTCCAATTCTTCGACGACACGAATGAAGAGGGAAATTTGCCTCCCATTTCTCTGAACAAGTCAGGTGAAAATAATCCCATTAAAGAGACCCTGAGGAAGACCAAAAAATTTTGCAATTATTTGACGAGCAAATTAGGGAGGCTTAATAAAAAACTGCGGGAAATAAAAAAACTGGAAACCATCTTCTACGCGAACCCACACATATTAACGGAGAGTCAACAAGTGAAACTAAGCAAAAAAAAACAAATAAAAAACGAACTGGTTTTAATCCATCGATACAGGAAAAAGTACCTCGCGTACAAAAAAAACCTCACCAAAAATGTCGACGACGCGTCTCCTTTTTTTAACGCCAAGCGGAAGATCCGCCATAAGCGGCAAGTCTGCACCCCCCAGGAGTTCAAGAAAATATGTACGCACCGATGGGCAGGACGCGCGCCAAAAATGATGAACGTGGTGGACATGGACAGAGTGAAACGAACCGCGCGGAGCACTGTAGAGGGGCTTCTGCCCATCGTCGCTTCATCTATGCGTCGCTCCATTTATTCGTCGCTTCCCCCCCCATCCCCGTGCAGTGCAATCGGACGACCCCAAGGCACCCGTCCAACGAGTGAAAAGCATAGACTACGACCAGATCCCCAGGAACGTGACCGACTACCTAGTATTTAACAAAGTGGGCAAGAAGGAGGAAGTCAAAATTCTCTTTGGCCTCAAAGCTGTGAAGATAAACGGAAACATACGTAAGGGGGAAAAGACACATAAGCGCGAACTCCCCGCTACCCTACACATGTTCATGCAGGAGGGTCACCCGGGTTGCAGAATGGGCAATTTGTTCGCGTTGCTTCATTTTTATTTTTTTATTTTTTCTTGCGCCCCTCCCCCCAGTGGATGATGAGAATTACATGATAAACCCGCGAGAAGACAAAGTGGAAGTGTTCAACGAGGTGGTCCAAATTCACGAAAGCCAGTAAGCGCAAAGTGGAATGAACAAAAAAAAAAAAAAAAAGTTTTTACCAACTCCACTGAGCCTACTCATGGGGGGTGGTTATCCAATTATGCACATGCGTAAAGAGTGGTGTTCTTTTTTTCTTTTTTTTTTTTCCTCCATGTGCACAACTAGCCAAATTATCCCACGTGTATTTCTTCCCCCCCTCTCTCAGCTACATCGTAAGGAAGAGGTTTTCGAAGAACCAAAAAAAAATGCTCGAGGAAAAGTCCAAAGAGAAATTATCAGACGTCAAACGGGAGGTTAAAGAGTTCGAAAACTTTTTCAACATAAAGCAGTGATGTAAGGGTGCACTTGCTCATTAAAGAAAATGCATGTCCACGCCCCTCTTCCGCGTTACACCGGTGAAGCAACTACCCGTTGAAAAGTTTTTCCAAAGTAGCCAATTAAAAATGGGTACTTCCCTCAGGGTGCTCCTGCTCGGGAATACTATCCCCTCGAGAGAACATAACAATTTAAGTGGGGTCTTTTTTCTTTTTTTTTTTTTTTTTTTTGTATCCCTGTGCGATGGGCTTTTTGAAATGCCCCACTTTGTACACACAAAAAAGTATGCATGTGTTAAAGAACATTACATGTGCTAACATACGAATTTTGACTTGAGGGCACGGGACCTTCATTCTACCAACAGGTGCAACATAAGTACGTAATATATATGTGTTTATGTACGGGTAGGTTCTGTGCGTGTATCGATACACTCTCTCATGTAAGATATATGGAGCGATGTTTTTCTTTCCCCTTGATACCACGCTTCCACAGACTTTTTTTTTTTCTAACCCCCTTTGGGGAATGCACCCCACTTTGCAAACACGTACATGGAAACTACAGAGTTAACAACAACATGCGGAATTGTATTAAATTGTATTACATGCAGGTCGCCTATCACCTCTGATGATTAATTCAATTTTCTTCCTTTCACACCGATTGCGTTTCAGAATTATTTAAGGCATGCCTGCCTTTTTTTAAGTGTGCCCGTCGCAAATATACTTAAAAAGCACCTGAACGGTTCAGGTGATTTTTTTTTTTTTTTTTCTTCAATTTTTTATTCTTTGTTTTATTTTTTTATTTATATATTTTTTTTTCTCTCTTTCTCTTTTACCTTTTTGCGAAATTTGCAATTTTTTTTCTTGCACAACGTTAGCTCAGTGGCCAGCAGGCGCCACAGCAGTGTATGAGTAGTTCATGCCAATCACTTTTTACTTGGCCTGTTTTGACCCCAGTCCGCATTGACTCCGGTCCACATTCATTCCCGTCCGCACTCTCTTTCGTGAAAGGAACGACCGTTCCACTGAGCGCCAAATGAAGCATCTTTTCGAAAAATGTATACATATAAGATGTGCTCCTAAGGGGGGATACACTTGTTAAAGCAGCACCCCCCTCTACATTTGCCCTCCAAAGAGAGGAGGTATTATTGTCCTTTTATTTGTGGCTGTTTTTCCGCCTACCATTTGTTACTGACCGTTATGTGTTGTCGAGGGGTAATATCAATCCCCTTCCACCTGGGAAAAAAAAAAAAAAAAATTAAAACCAACAAAGCACAATGAATAGCACAACGTGTGACAATCCACTGCGTGCAAAGTCGTACCGACTGAACCTAGATGACATCCAGAACCTGGGGTCCCTGTATCTGTTTGAGAACAATAGGAAAATCGCCAAATACAATGAGGAAATCGACCTGCTCAAGGAACAGTAAGGAGCCATCAACGCAACCGCATGAGCACCTATCAACTTGCACTTCCGTACATCTTCACGTATGTACATGTACACATTCGCACTTGTGCACATTTGTTATTTACTTTTTTTTTTTTTTTTTTTTTTTTTTTTTTTTTTTTTTACTGAAGACTGAACTACCTGAACGAGAAAATGGGAAAATGGTAATGAGCAAGGAATTTGTGCGTGGCAGTGAGAGGGACAGACACGCAGGCGACACATGGTTGTAGAAAAAATATTCCATTGTTGTGTGCCTCTCTCCCGCATCAGTTGGCGCAATTGACTTTTGTGTATCTCCTCCCGCCCCTTTCGCAGTGGATACGTGCATAAGGTTATCGAGCCTGCGAAGCCCTCAGAGGTGACCTTCTGGTACTACGAACTGAAAGAAATGGTAAGTCCTCGAAGTTATAGCAGGGGCGGCGAGTTCCTCGAGTACCCCCCCCCCCAGAGGGAAACAATTCATCTGTTTCACCACGCCAATTGTACATGTGAAATCACGTCCACACCGCGATGCGTCGACTCCTCTCCTACAAACCTCGCAGAAAGAATTTCAAGACCTGGTGATGTACGAAATAAAGAAGAAAAAAAAGCACTTCAAGATTTTGAGCCAGAGCTGCGTGAAGTATCTAACCAACCGTGAAAAAATAAAACAAAAAAAATTAGAAGAGGAGGAAAAGCGATTGAAGACTCACTCGAAACACATCTCATCCTTCATGGACATGTTTTGGAAGAAAATTGAAAAGTTGGTTTGGGAAGAGAAGAAGAGGGAGTTGCAGAAAACTCTAAATAAAAAAAAGGAAATGCGATTTAAAAGATTTGTTAAAAATGCAATTAAGAAAATTAAACGAGCTAGACAAGAGAATGTGCATGAGCTTTTCGTCAACAGACATGCTAGTATAAGCTCCTTCAATCCTAGTGAGAATATTACATGCTCTTCGCACCAGGGTCCCACGGAGGGCAGTAATGACCGGAGCAGCGTGGGAAGTAGCAAACGGGTCAGCAGGTTAAGCAGTGAAGGGATTAATAGGGTAAGTAACGAACGGGTGACCAGACGAAGGAGCAAACGAGTGAGTGCTGCAAACTTCGAACTGAGTAATGAGGGAAGCACCGCCCGAAGTAGCGCGAACAATACCGAGGATGCTGGCCTGCACAACTTGGCGGATGATGAATTGAAGGAAGAGGACCTGACCAATCAGGAAGAGGAAGACGTGTTGCTGGACGAGCAAATGGAGTCCAGCGACGAGTCGGAGGAAAAGGGGAGGGAAATCAGCCTCCTGGACGATGAGGCCAACATGCCCATTGAGGAGCTGATCAAGAGGATGTACGGCTTTAAGAGTGGTGAGGAGTACCTCGATATGATGCGCGAGGGTGGGGGATCAGCCGGTGAGGAAGAGGCGGCAGAGGAAGGCGCAGAAGAAGATGACGCAGCAGAAGAAGACGCAGCAGAAGAAGACGCAGAAGAAGACGGCGCAGCAGAGGAAGACGCACCGAAGGAGAACGAGAAGAAAAGAAAGTTCGAAGAAACGGATGAGGCAGACCCGCCAATCACATCCAACGTAACGAAGAAGAGCGATGCGCACACCGAACGGAGGAGAAAGAAGAGGAGGAGGAGAAGAAGAAGAACACGCCACAACCGTAGGGACGACGGAGGGGACCTGAGCGAGTCTTCCTTGTCTAGCACCTCCAACGATGATATGATGGAGTGTAATATGGACGAGAAGCACTTGACCATAATACCTCCCTTCATAAAGGCAACCCTGAGGGATTATCAACACGCAGGGTTGCACTGGTTACTCTACCTGTACAAGAATAACATAAATGGAATATTGGCAGACGAAATGGGTTTAGGAAAAACGTTACAATGCATTTCTCTTTTGAGTTACCTGGCGTACCACTTCAACATATGGGGGCCCCACTTAATAATTGTACCCACGTCAATCCTTATAAACTGGGAAATCGAATTGAAGAGATTTTCTCCTTGCTTCAAAATATTATCCTACTTTGGAAATCAGAATGAAAGATATAAAAAGCGAGTTGGGTGGTTCAACAAGGACTCGTTTCATGTGTGCATATCTAGTTACTCCACAATTGTTAAGGATCATCTGATTTTTAAAAGAAAGAAATGGAAATACATTATCCTAGATGAAGCTCACAATATAAAGAATTTTAATACGAAGAGGTGGAATATCATTTTAAGCTTGAAGAGGGACCATTGTCTTTTAGTCACTGGTACCCCTTTACAGAATAGTTTGGAAGAGCTGTGGTCTCTGCTCCATTTCCTCATGCCAAACATATTTACATCCCATGTAGATTTTAAGGACTGGTTTTCAGATCCGTTAAACTTGGCCATACAGAAGAGTAAAATAAATGACTCGAGAGAGCTCATCGACCGGTTACACACAGTGATAAGACCTTATATTTTAAGGAGATTAAAAAAGAATGTGGAAAAAGAAATGCCAAATAAGTATGAACATATAATTAAATGTAAGTTAACCAGGAGACAACAAGTGTTATATGACGAATTCATTCAAAATAAACAAGTTCAAAATACACTCAACAGTGGGAACTACATAGGTTTAATGAATATACTCATTCAGCTGAGAAAGGTTTGTAACCATTGTGACTTGTTCACAAATAAACATATTCAGACCCCATACTTTTATTTACTCCCCATCAGTTTTTTTATTCCGCGTTTTTTTATCCTATTTGAGAAGACTTACCACCTGGACTTTCAACTTATTTTGTTCCTCCACAAGGAATTCACCTCCCTGGGAGGTGTTCCTCGTTACCGTCAGCAGAATGGAAAGAGTAAATCTAATCAACCAAATGATAGGCGTGCGAATAGCTTTATAAATATGCAGCTACCCGACCCCGCACACACCTGTTACCACACATTTGCGCATCACGCGGGTGAAAGAAAGAAACCTGTTAACGTTATGCCGAATGCGGAGCAGCCAACGGGTGTAATCTCGACTTTTCAATTCATGCAAAGTATAACACCCCAGGGGGGAGTAAACGAGGTGTGTGCCATAAGTGATGCTACTCAGCATGGGATTGATGTTATCCCTGTGCAGCCCGTTACAAAGGATGAAACATTACTCTTCCCTCCCGCTAGTGAAGCTCATCACGGACCCCAACTGGGCCAAACGGTTGGAAGTCTTTATAACGAGATAAACGGTGGGCCGTACAGTCCTACTCAGCTTATCTCCTCACTTGGAAGAAGCAACTCATTCACTCGTCATACGAATGGGATGAAGAGGGCGCGTCCCTCAAGTGATGAACATATTGTGAATTATCCCCCTAACGCAATGAAGAACAATACGGTTACTTCCGCTGAGGAGATAAAAGCTTTGTCTATTTCTAACCTGCGCCACGGTAGAGGAGGTGCCCCACCAATAAACATGGAAGATGTAAACATGTACCTGAACAGTCAGATAAAAGGGAACAGTGTGCCAAGGAATTTTCTCACCTACTCTGAAGAATTCGTGTATGAAATGAACAACAACTATGACACTCTGGGTCGTTTTATCGACCCTGCTAACAAGCATCGCAGTTACGGTGAGTACCTTTACCGCACGTTGAAGGATGTCACTCCGTGTGGCCTAGCAAGTACGGCAGGGGGCGATCACCAAAACAAGGTTACCTTCAACAAGCATGCATCCAATGAGGCCATAAATAACCGTTGTCAAAATTTTCTTTACAAATATAACATGAAGGTAATTAACAGCGACACGCAGTATAAAAATTTTTTCTCAGATCAGACGAACCAGAGCTACCTGAATTCATTGGAGCACAACTTGTGGGTTAAGAGGCAACGAAGATTTGAGGAGAAGGATAGGAGGAGGGAGGAACAGCTAAAAGAGACCTTCACCAATGAGTACAATTTGTTAAAGAATGACAGAACCCCTCTCTTTGGGACCAACCTGCTGAGCTTACTTAGGCGCGAATTTTCCCGAGATGGGTTTGTGCCTTACCACTCGAGTAATAATCTGGCTGTGGGGTCTTTCCTCATGCGGGAGGTGCGTGCAGATGATGTACGTGTGGCGGCGAATGAGGCGTGTGCAGGTGGGGCGGCGAGTGCGACGTGTAGGGGTGAAGCTGGGGCGGCCGTCCTCGAGACGCTCTTCCCAACAATGGACCTCTTCCTAACGACGCACCAGCGAGAAATACACAACTTCACCCTGATGAACACGCCCGCTGTGATTAGTAGCAGCCACAGAATTGCAATCAACAACAACCTGTTGCAAAATTGTAGCCACCTAGAACCCATTCTACAACGGATCAAGGTAGCTACCAGGGTGTACCATGAGCCCTTCCACAAGCAATCGATCATCTTCCCCTTAAACAAAGACATCACCTTGGGCAGTGGAAAATTATTTGCTCTAGAGAAATTATTGAATAAATGCAAAAGGGAAGGAAACAAGTGTTTGCTGTTTACTCAGTTTATTAAAATGCTCGACATCCTGGAGGTCTTTCTGAATCACCTGAATTATACATTTATCAGATTAGACGGATCCACCAAAGTCGAACAGAGACAAAAAATTGTAACCAAATTTAATAATGACAAAACCATTTTTTTATTTATTTCTTCTACACGTAGTGGTAGCATAGGAATCAACTTGACTGCAGCCAACGTGGTTATTTTTTATGACACTGACTGGAACCCTTCCATCGACAAGCAGGCCATGGACAGGTGTCACCGAATCGGGCAGACCAAGGATGTGCATGTGTTTAGGTTTGTCTCGGAGTACACTGTGGAGGAAAACATTTGGAAGAAGCAACTTCAGAAGAGGAAGCTTGATACCATTTGCATCAGCATGGGTAATTTTAGTAACCTCAATAATGAGTCTCTGCTGGTGGGTGCGGGCCATGCGTCGGTTGGAGGTAATGCGTCATGTGCAGGTGAAAAGAATAACCCGCTGTCGAGTGACGGAAAAGACACCCATGCGAATGTCCCTGCAAGCATTGCAGACGTGATGAGCGGGAGGGGCAATGCAATACCCAATAACGATTCCGCAAGCAAGGACTGGTTTGCTAATGCTGATACGATTAAAGAAATATTTATTAACAAAAGGAACAACGATGAGGATGAAGATATTTACCAGGACAGACTGTTGCATGAACACATGGACGAGTCAGACAAAACCAACGTGCGATTTGAGAAGACGCTGGAACACGTGGAGGACAAGGACGACATCAACGCCCTGCGTGAAAACAAAAAGGAAACACTCCACGCCATTTCACAAGACCTGCAAGAATTTGCTAACAAAAATGACTTCCATGACACCTACACCCTCACTTCCTACTGCTTCAATTTTCTGAATGATAATCTGACGGACAGCTTGAAGCAACAGATCGACGAAATGAAAATGAAAATTGAAATCGAAATGATGAATGTGGGGGAGGATGAGGAGGAGGATGATAGCGGCGGTGATGAGGAGGACGGCGACGACGAACATGGCGATGAGGAGGATGGCGGTGACGACGAACATGGCGATGATGAGCACAGTGATGACGACAACCCCACCCTCGACGAGGCATCACCGTCGTCCTCCACAGAAACAGACAGTTTGAACCAGCAGTGAAAAAAATAAACCATTCTCTGTTGGGAGATCGTCCCCCCGCAGCGATGTACCCATTTGATATTCTTCCTCCTCCATTTGTGCACACATACTTTTTATATGTGAATACCTCCTGTGGGAAGCCGCAACAAACTGTGTCAACAATATGTTTGCACCTCCCCTTGCGTCTGTTCGCAGGGCGTGCTGTATGAACAGCAGAAGGGTAGGGGGGGGGTAACGCCCTTACACCAAAGATATACCACCCTCGGTGTTAGAAAAGAACAATCATGAGGGTGTTTCCCCTGCCCCCCTTTTTTGACCAAACCCGTTCAACACTTTTTGTAATGCTTTAAATTAGTCATTTTTAAAAAGGCCTCGAAGGGAGAGTAGAAGGCACCCGCGCCCAAATGAGGAGGAAAGGCTGATATGAAAAAAAAAAAAAAAAAAAAAAAAAAAAAAAAAACATTAGCGCATCTTTTCACACTCCACAAGTGGGCTAAAAGAGGTACTTATTATAAAAATCACAATTTATGTGAAAAGCCTATGTGCACAAAAAAATTGCGCCAAAACTATTCATAGGTGCGTTGGCCGCTCTCCATAAGAAAGGCCGTGCCCCCCCAAAAAAGTAGCTTCCACTTTGGCATATAAATTCCATGGCGCAGCGAATGCGCAAGTGCTTATCCATTGGTCTTGTCGTCAATTCTGTTCCGACAAACTACACTATAACACGAAAATTTAATGAGGCAACTAATGTTGAAGGAACGTCAGGAATGAGTAACTGAGCATAGAGAGGAGGTACCTTGTTCCATTACAACTCTCGTTCACCGCACATATAAGGTTTGTTCCGCCTTGTTCGATTGTTCGTTTTGTTTTCCCATTTTTTTTTTTTGTTTTTTTGTTGCGACTAAAAAAAGGTTGAAGCAACTCGGCTAAAGCAACCTGGCTGAAGGAAAACCGCCGCCATCGAACCAATTGTACTTCTTACCCCCAAACCCGACTATAAACCCACATGGAGAAAATAGCCCTAATACAAAGTAACTTGAGGATGAAAAACATACGTAGTGATAGGGGATAATTTTGAGAGAGGAGAAAAAAGAAAACGACATTTGTTAATCCTCCTTTCTTTTTTTTGTGTGAAGGCGACACATTTTCAACTCCAACTTGTTCTTTGCAGATCCCCTGGACTATATTCGCTTGAACATGGAGGAGGAGGTGTTTTTAAAATGCAAAGGAGATAGGGAAATCAGAGGAAAATTAGACGTAAGAAATGTTTTCTCTTCTCTTCGCCCTTTTGAGAAATCGTGTTTTTCTCCCCGGGGCGTCACATCGGAATGTTCCGTTGGGATGTTCCCCCGAGGCATATCTCTGCATCGGCGAGCTTCTTCCGCCCGGTCTGCGTGCGTCGTCCTGTCCCACGCGCACTCATTATGCACACCACTACACCCCATCCCACTCCCTAAAGGCATACGATAACCACTTGAATATGATCCTGTCCAACGCCCACGAAACGTACAAGCAGAGCGTCATCGAAAATGATGAGGAGACCATAAAGGTACGCACGACACGCACGAAATGCACATCGCTACTCTGCGCGTCGAATGTAGGCAGCTACAATGATTGGGAATATGCAAGTTGGAACCTTTCCCACAGGGACGAAGGAAAAAAAAGAATAAAAAAAACTTTATAAAGTGATGGAACTTTTTTGTCACATGGGGATTACAATGTGTGCATATTTTTACATGTACGTTATACCCCCATTTTTTTTTTTTTCTTTTTAGAAAATCGAAAGGAACCTCGACATGGTTTTCGTTCGGGGGGATTCCATCATCTTAGTGTCATCGGCGACGAAGTAGGAGCAGGGCTCCGCAACGTGTAGAGGCGACGATCGCACGTTAACACATAGGCACACGACCACATGTACATAAAAGGCCGCTTGCTCATATGTGTGTTCGTTTGGCGCGCCCCTTTAGCGTGATCATGTACACTGGACCAGCGTTTGTCTCCGCGCTGTGCCCTCTCATTTTCCGCATCTCCTTGGCACATGCAGGCCATTGTACGGGTCGAATTTTGAGGCCCCCCATTTTTCGCAAAATTTTTTTTTTTTTTCTGGTCATTTACTAACGAGCTTAGTTTATATATAGGCACATTTTGAACTTTTATTTTTTGTTAAAAAAATTGCCTAACAAGCATATGTAGACATCTTTAAAAAAAAAAAAAAAAAATCCTCTCCCTGTCTGCATGTCCTGTGTAACGTCTTATTGGTGAGGGGAAAAAGAGCTTGCCCCCCACAGTGGCAAACCAATTACAACGTTAACAAAATGAGCCACCACACATGACGCAGGAGTGAATATGTGGCCCGTGTAGAAGCGGCAAAGCTTTTTAAAAAACTGAAAGGGAAATCATCAAGGGGGAATTTGCACGCTTTCTGCCAGGGGGAGCAGTTGGCGGGTGGTCATTGCGCCCCATTGTGTGTACTCAATCTCTGTGTCTATTTTAGGTTGTAAATTCTTGTTCCTCTGGAGTGGTTGCGCTGCGCGTAACGCGTTTCGCGTGACCCCTAAGTTGTGACTCTACACGGATACCCTCCGCACATTGTCACTCTTCTCCTGGGCTTGGCAAAATGGATTATAAAGAAAAGCCCGAGGGCCCCTTCTTTGTCTCCTTTTACGTAATAAAAGAAAAAAAAAAAAAATGCGAAAATAAGGGGATAAATGGGGAGACTTTCTTGCAACCCTGCGTCACGCTGCTTATTATCCCGTTTTAAAACTACCCTTATTCCTCTCCCCGTTTGTTATGAAAAAAAAAAAC